CAAGACTGATGTGTTTAAGTTGAAATTACACTTGAATAATGTTGGTTTATCATGTTTTTAGTTAGTTTTGCATGAATTTGGGCTTGAAAACGAGTATGTAAGATTACACTTTGTGCCATTTTCGACTAGGCAAAATTACCCAGAACCGCATATGCGGCTAGGAGTCTCGCATATACGGAACACAGGGTGAAACAGAGGCTCTGATTTTGCTTTAATTGCACGTGCGGCCACACATGCGGTGAGGGGTTTCCGCACGTGCGAAATGCAGGGGAAATTTTGTTTTCTTTTGATGATCTTTCTGACCTTCTGAATGCGTTCTTGACCTTATTTAAATGCTATGGAGAAATGAATTGATGGATAGAAACACATTGAAAAATGATGTGAATCATTAAAAGAAAAGTGTATGAAATGAAACAAATTATTTATCGAATATGTTTGTGTGAAATGTTGTGTGCCGGAGGAGATGTTGCAAGACCAAACACTGTGAGTAATAGTATTATAAAGATATGTTCTCAATTACTTATTTTGATCCATGAATGGTGATTTATTCCAAAATTGTGTTTGATCGAAATGTATGAGTTTCATGAATGTTATATGATGTGTGCAATATGGACCTAAAGTCGTCTCATTTATGCTATGATGTGCTTAGGCTCGAGGCCGTTCTGTTAATGATATGATAATATATGATTGGACCTAAGGTCCTTTTGAACAGTTGTTAATGTGTGGGCTTGAGGCCATTCCGTAATATGTGTTCATACGTTTGAGCCCAAGGCCGTTTTGATATATATGGACCTGAGGCTGTTTCGTTACATGTTGGGCCTGAGGCCATTCTGTAATATGTTAGACATAAGACTGTTCTGTAAATGTGATTATGAATAATGTTATGAAGGATGTAATTGTGGAAAAGTATTGTGTTCTCATAATATGCTTTCTTTTAATTCAAGATTATTCATTAGATTCTCTTTACTTTACTATTATTCATTGAGCATCGCTCACTCCCTATGTTGTACGTATGTAGGTGATCAACATGGAGTCGACCTTAGAGTCAGCCTCAGGAAATTACTATTATTCATTGAGCATCGCTCACTCCTTATGTTGTACGTGTGTAGGTGATCAACATGGGGTCAACCTTAGAGTCAGCCTCAGGAAATTGCATATGAGGACTTGTCATGTCGAAACTCCAAGATGGAGTTGTTGTCTTTTGACTATGTCTATGTTAAGACTTTTGACCGGTGTTTGTTATGTTGGTTTTGTGGATGTGTAACTTAATGTCTTAACTCCTATGTATATAAGTATTTTATCTTGATCATTTAAGCACCGCTCATTGGACGTTATTTCTTAATTTTAATTTGCTTCCGCTTAAGGCCTTATTATTAAAAACATTTGTTTTCTGTATGAGGTCGTAGGTAATTGTGTGATTGCTGGTCGGTTATAAGCCATACTTTTAGGGGCAGGTTTGGGTCATGACAGTATTCAACAACACTTTTGTTCACCAACAGATTTTCATTTTATGAATTCAACAATTCAATATACAGCATATGAGTTTATTCACCCTATGGTGGTGATTTTATAACAATGTCATTTTTCACCAATGACCAACAATCAATTTTTACAATATGTAATGATTTAATTCAAGGATATTTAACTTCAATTTCAAAGTAAAGGCAACATTTCCAATACTTGACCAATTTCACAAATTAGAGTTTCAAGAAAGTTGGAGCTTGCTCAATTAAAGCACCCTTATGCTATACAACATTAGGAAAATAGGTTTGAAAAGAAAAATAAAGATATAAAGAAATAACCAATAAATTCCAAATCCTAACCCTTTGCCATGCACATTTTCAAAATCTCTACAAATATCTCAATATAGCATAAGGAAACTACCACATATACACATATAAACTCATATAGGCCTCGTTGTAAAGTGGCTATTTTTTAGACTTTTTGGCTATTTGACTATTTTAGTTTTTGTGTTTGGGAAGATAGGTTGGATTTTTGTTGGATTGCTGTATTGGGAAATGTGTTTGAAATGATGTTAAACAATGAAAAGATAAAAATGCCCCTAAGAAGAGTTCCTTGTTGAATGACATGGCGTTGCCTTCTAACTTGGGAAATATATTTGGGTTCCATCCATTGGTGTGAATCTCAATGTTCACAAGGGGCAATTTGAACATTTGACAACCTGAGGTGGCAGTGTTGTCAAGACACATGGTCTTTTTTTGTTCAGTAATGCTAGGGATCATGAAAAATATATCATGAATATTATCATGAAAGTTTCTCAACCTTTGGATTACCCATATAATAAAACATCACATACTAATCAAGACTAATCAAGGGATGAAAAATTTTCATGATATATTTTTCATAATCCCTAACATTACTCTTTTTTGTTTATATATGATTTTTTGCTATTTCAGCTGTGAGGCTAAAATAGCCTCCTCAACCTACTTCCCAAACACCGCCATATTATATAAAAAAAAAAAAAAAAAAAAAAAAAACCCTAAAATGGAGAAAATGGGAAGTGCCAAAACTTGAAAAGTAGAAATTGGCTTGGATGGATGTAAAGCCGTCGTTGTGCTCTACAACGTTAATACTTGAGTTTTTGATTGGCTCAAGCTCTAAGGCTTCGAATCTAAGAGATTTATGGTGAGTTATGGTAGAGAGAAAAAGAGAGAGAAGAGAAAAGAGAAAAGTGAAAGTGAGTAAATGAGAGAAGAGAAAAAGCAGAATTGCAGAAATAAATATTTATCGGATTGACAATTAATTGCCATGAAAGAGCAATTGATCGCTCTCAAAATTCAAAAGTTGCGATCTCCTATCAATTGCTAGTCTCTGCTGAAGAAGCAATTGCTCGAGCAATTGATCGCCCATTGATTGCAAGCTATTATTGAAAAGATCTAAAAATGAGCAATATTGCTAAGCGATCGCCTATCAATCGCTAGCCATTAGAAATCATTCGAACTAAATGCAAGCGTACCAATGAATAGAGGAGCTGAGTGGTGGCAGGATAGAAGAAGTACTAGTAAGAGAGTTGCTAAGGTGCTGTTTGGTAATACTTACATTTTATGTTTTCTGTTTATATTTACAAAAAATTTAAAAATTCAAATAAAAAATTGTTTAGTAAAATTTTTAATTTATAAATCAGTGGTCTCAGTTTATAAATTTGGCCAAAAAATGAAAACACAAAAAATGTGTTTCCATTTTGAGTTTTCAGTTTTTTTTTTTTTTACCACCCAACACTAGCCACCACTTGCCACAATTAATTATAATAATTATATTTAAAACAAAAAAATTAGGGCAAAACACTAATAAATCCCAAATTTTAATTTGTTAAACCATTTGGTCCTGCCTTTTATTTTGTAGACTAATAAGTCCTATTTAAATGTTAAAAGCTCACTATAGGCTTTTTTTAAATTTCCCTCGTTTCCGAACATCAGCAATATTAACTATACCAACAACATCAAACATCAACTACATCATCAACATCATAAAACATCATCAACATTATCAAACATCAACTACATCATCAACATTATCTACATCATAAAACATCATAAACATTATCAAACATCAACTACATCATAAAACATCATCAACATCATCAAACATCAACTACATCATCAAACATTATCTATATCATAAAACATCATAAACATTATCAACATCATCAAACATCAACTACATCATCATACAACACCAACATTGTGAACATCATCAAACATCAACTATATCTTCAACCTCATCAAACATCATCAACATCACCAAACATTGTGAACATCATCAAACATCAATTACATCTTCAACCTCATCAAACATCATCAACATCACCAAACATTGTGAACATCATCAAACATCAACTACATCTTGATGAGGTTCACAATCAAACCAGGTAAGCTTTTCTTGTGATCAAACAGACTTCGACCCATATTGGGTCAGACCCAATATACCTAATCGATTCAGTCGTTTCTTTATATATGGATGTGATTATGGAAAACTAATGGGTGTTTTGTTACTCGGTGAATTTGATTTGGGTTTTTTTGATATTCTTTTTAGCTGACTAGGTTGACCCAATTCGTTTGTTGTTTGATGATTGCGTGTTTATCAGCAAATCTGAGGCATAAAGTTTGGAATTTTAATTTGTGCTGAATTTGCCATTGTAAATGAACTAGTATAGAAACAGAAAATAGAATTATAATGTCTCTTTTGTGTTCGAATAAATGTCAAAAAGAAGTAATTTTGGACCCTGGGATTTTTAGTATATTATTATTTGGTGTCCGTTGAATCATTATTTCCATTGAAATTGTAGTGTCTAAAAAGCTTGGTCTTATAACAGTGTATGCTGATGCACATATTGGAATCATAATTTCCTGTTGAAATTGTAGTGCGACTAGTGGAACTATTGGTGATGTTGATGATGTAGTTGATGTTTGATGATGTTGATGATATTTTATGATGTTTGTGATGTTGATGATGTTTGATGATGTAGTTGATGTTTGATGATCTTCACAATGTTGGTGATGTTGATGATGTATGATGATGTAGTTGATGTTTGATGATGTTCATGATGTTTTATGATGTTGGTGATGTTGATGATGTTTGATGATGTAGTTGATATTTGAACTCGCTCACATTGATTGGATTGAAATTGCTTGATGTTTATACAGTATAACAAACAAAGATATTATACCAAATATAAAAAAGACTAAATGGTTTACAAAAAAATACTCAGGACTAGATAGAGCAACATTTCTCAATATGAAATTTATGAGTAATTTTTTCAAAAATTTATAATATACATATATTTTTGAAATATACGTAAATGTTTTCACGATATAAACAACTTTTTTATTTTATAAATACATTTATGTTTCACATATCATATTAGTTTTTTTTTTTTAGACAGGACATATCAAATTAGTTTAATCGGTCATATTTCAAATTTAACTATTTTCATGATACATCAAATTTAAAAATTCTTAAAACTAGGGGGGATTACTGTGAAAATGAAAGAACAGAAGCCCTCCACTGAACGAACATGCCATGTCCCGTTGTAACGTTTATTTATATATACACGTGCTTTTCTTCCTCTCTCTCGCTCTACAGACACAGACTCTCATCCCCGAAGAAGATCTATTTCGCTTGATCAACGGCGGGCTTGTTCGAAGCATAATCAATGCCTTCACAGAAGCGTAATTCGTCTTCTGATAATAATCTTCTACACCACGACGACTCTCAGCAACAGCATTCCCGCCGCAAGCAATCGCGACGCCAACGAGGAGGAGCTGAAGATGATGATGAAGATGAGCGAGACTACGAACAAGATGAAGAAGAAGAAGAACAAGTGAAAGAAGAGGACGAAGACTCTGAAGATGAGGGTTACGTATCGTATCTTGTTTGTTTATCTCTTCGCGCTCGATATATATGAATTTGTTTTCGTTTGACGATCGTTTATGGTTTAAATTGATACTTCTCAGATTCTGATGGAAGTCGTTCATCTGACGACCCTGCAAACCAATCCGAGTATTCTCTCTCTCTCTCTCTCTCTCTCTCTCTCTCTCCCTCTCTCTCTCTCTATATATATATATACATACATATATGTTTGGATGTGCTTCATTTTGATTTTTGCTTTGCTTTCTTGTTTGATTAGTGGTCAGATCGAATGTATCTGTTTTTTTGTCTTCCTATATGTTCAATGTCTCTGATATCTTAATTGCTACTGCTAGATTTTGCTTTTCTTACGATCATTTTTGAGCACTGATGTATATGTATGGATTATCGCAATAAATTGAATTGACTACTGAGTTTTGACTACTGAAGTGGATGAATTTTGGTTTATAATGTTTGGTTGGGTGATGTTGATTTTAGTCTTGCTTTGCCCTTTCGATTATGCTTGATTTACTGCATGAGAGGTTCTTGCATGTCTCAATTTAAGTTATCTATTCTATGTTTTTATGGCTGTAATTTTAAGGGGAAATTACTATTGAGCGGGAAGTGGGGCAAATATTTACTACATGGTGAGATTCTTATTGGGGTGCAACTTTTGTTGTGTTTTTTTAACGCAGAAAGAGGGCAACCCCATATGTTTGTGTAATTATTTCTGGTCATGTGCACTGATTTATAATTTCCCCTAATTTTAAAATATAATTGTTGGGGCCAGTTTGTAAGATTCTGTTAAATGTAAATTTATGATTTCCCATCTTCATGTAGTATTTGAACAAGTTTTAAATAGTTGTAACGAACTCTTTTGAAACGGTGCCATGCAATATATTGGCTTCATGGGAAGAACACCACTTGGATTATGCCATTTCTGGGCTTTCTATACATCATGTTCTATCTGCTTAATTACAACAGCTAAAACCTTTCTTGTGTGTGCACATGTGTGCTTTTATATATCCTTGTCTATTGTTCCTTCTTGTCGTTCCTTTTGTCTAAGACAAAAGGACTTTGCTTTGTTCGCCCTTTACTTAAATGCCGGACTACGATTATCTCAGTTTTTCTTCTCTTCCCCCCCCCCCCCCCCTCCTCTTCTTTCCATGCTTTTTTTTTCCTCTGTATTTTAATCTTACAAGGATTTTATGGAGTTTGTGTTGACTAACTATTGCTTATCAAAAGAAAAGAACACCTGTTGACTAACTTAATATTGCTGATTCTACTTTTTTGCTGAATTGAAATGGATGTCCTTTTTGAATCTTCCACAGAATACTAAAACATCCCAATGAACTATCTTTCCATTTGATGACAAAAGAGCAATCAGACCTCTGAAGGTCACAGCTTTGACTGATATACAGAGGCTTCTGAGAGGATTCTTTAATCAACCAAAACCGGTGCTAATGATTTGGGCATTTTATGTTTCTTTTTGGTGATTTAATGCATAAAAGGTCCTTGCATGTTGCACTGGGCTTGGCCTTTTGCCTGCTTGGTGATACAAGATTCATGTAGAGGAGAGAATCTTGTAGATGATCCTTATTGGTTGGGACAAGGCCACATTTTGTTAAGTTAAATGATTTATGATGGCGTGTTTGTTTAAATTGTTAGTAATCCCTATTTGTTATTTTCCCTTTAAGCGGACATTTTCAGTTATGCACATTATGCTCACCCGTAAACTCTTATTGTTTGCCTATTGCGTATTTGGTCAAACAAATTCCACACATGCCTATTCCAACACATTCAGCTTCCTGTTTGAAAGAACATTAATTCCCTATCATTTACCTTCTTTGGATAAATTGTTAATTCCCTATCATTTGCTCTCCATGGATACGGAGAAATGTGTCACCAGAACACAACCTCATAGTAGGATTTTACCTGAAAGCAACTTGATCTAGAAAGATTTCATCTTAGCAAATCCTGCCCATTCCTAATATTAGATATCTTGAACAACCTATCCATGAACCTTGTCAACTTTGCCAATTCCCAATACAGCCATTGCTTGGCCTGGGTTGGCCATGACCCCTCCCACATTTTGGCGAACCCATGTATATATAATTTGGCAGAGAGTTTGGTTTGCACTGTTATAATAATTAAGGCTTTTGAGGGTAAATACAGTAATTTTAGTTTTAGAAAAAAGTTTTTATTTTTATTTTATTGTAAATAAAAGTTTTCATTTCTGGCTAGGAAACTTACAGGCACATCTAAACTTTCCTCACTCTCCGCTATCCAACACATATAATTACTTCCTACTCCCCTCTCCTTTTCTCACTCTCTCGGGAAAAAAAAAATTATGGTCTCTCTCTCTCTCTCTCTCTCGTGAACAAATGAAGGAAGAAACAATATCTGAAATTGTTCCACGCCTTTGATCCTGTCACGACCCAAATCCACCCCTAAAAGTTCGGATCATAACCGGCCAGTAATCACTTGATTACCTTCGGCCTCAAACAAACATACAAAGTAATTATAATAATGGGGCCGTAAGCGGAAGCATAACACAAATGAAGAAGTTCATTGAGCTGTGCCAAAATATCAAAATCATACAGCTTACAACATAGCATATTTCCATGACCACGCAAAAACTTATGTACCAAAGAGCATTCCATATATATGGTTTACACATCCCAAGACCATTAAGCAAAACGAAACAAACGTCATAACTGAATGTAAATCAAAAACCAAAAGCTCTATTTTGGAGACTCGACCAAACATGTTCACAAAAATAATTCCGGAGGCAGACTATAAGGTTGACTTCCATGTTGATCACCTACACACATACAACATAGGGGGTGAGGGACGCTCAATGAATAATAGTAAAGTAAAGAGAATTAAATGAATAATCTTGATTTAAAAAAAAGCAGATTATGTTAACACAATACTCTTCCACAATTACATCCTTCATAACATTATCCATAATCATATTTACAAAACGGCCTTAGGACCAACATATTATGGAACGGTTTCAGGCCCAACATATAACTGAACGGCCTCAGGCCCAACATATTACAAAACGGCCTCGGGCCCACATATATCACAACGGCCTCGGGCCCACATATTAACACAATGGCCTCAGGCACACATATTAACATAACGGCCTCGGGCCCAAGCACATCGTAGCATAAACGGAACAACCGTAGATCCATATTGCACATGTTATATAACGTTCATAAAACTCGTTCATTTTGATCAAAACACAATATCAGAATAAATCACCGTATCTGGGTCAAAATAATCAATTAAGAACATATTTTTACAATACTATTACTCACAGTAAGTTTGGTCTTGCGGCGTTGCCTCCGACACACGACTTGCACAAAACATGTCACATACACATTCGATAAATAATTCGTTTCATTTCATACACTTTTCTTTTAATAGTTCATAACCTTTTTCAATGGGTTTCTAACTATCATTTCATTTCCCAGAGGGTTTAAATAAGGTCGGGAATGCGTTCAGGAGGCTAGGGAGGTCAACACGAGATAGCAAAAAAAATTTTCCCTGCTTGCTACTCGTGCGGCTGGTCCAACCGCTCGAGCGGTTAGGTTCCGCTGGTGCGTGTGGCCGCTCGAGCATGTAGAATGGTTTCCCCCGATTTGGTCCATGCTCCACTCGTGCAAAGCTCGTAGCCGCACAAGTGGTCTGGGTAGTTCTAGATAGTCTGAAAATAGAGTTTTGAAGCCAAGTTCCCAAATTCAATTTCAAACCCAAATTCATGCAAAACTAACTCAAAACTTGATATACTAACATGATTCAAGTATAATTTCAATTCAAACACATCAATCTTGCTTCAATGTCAAAATCAAAGTCTCATCTTTTTCCATATATGTACAAAACCTCGTGATTAAGTTCAAAATATATATATACGCATGGATGATCCTTACACAAATGCTTGTTGTATGGATAATTTAGGATTTATTTCATGCATTAATCACAAGCTTGAACTCAAATCAAACAAAGTTGAAGACATTAAGGTCCAATTTCTTGAATTTAGCTCAAACAATTACATAACTCAAAATCTAACTCATATAAGTGTTAAATCTTCAAATTCCTCTTGATTTCATGCAAAAGATGAGTTATTTACAAAGATTCTAAGTAGATTTCCATATCTTAGCTCAAATTTGGGTTTGCCCCTTGAATCTCTTCCAAAACCCTAGCTTCTCCTCTTCCTCTCTCTCTAACTCACTCTCTGGTAAGCTCTCAACAAAAGTGATGAAGGGAAGAAGCTATATACATATATACATTGGGCCAATTAACTTAACTAATCATTATGAATCATAATTTTACAAAATTTCATGGTAGTCTCTAAAAATCATGCTGAACACAAATATGAAGTCGGTTTTGGTTTCTGGTGCCTCTAAGGCTTTCAATTTCAGTTCAAAGTTGTAATTGCAACATATATTCCTACATTCGATAGATATAATTCCAAAAACATATAATTCACACACTTAAACATGTAACTTAATATCAAACACATAATCACATGCATAATTAAGCATAATACGGATTGGGTTATCACAAATCGTTTCCCAAAATTGCATTGTTCCCGTTTATTCTCAATTCGCAATTATTATTCTCTATGGCTTGAACTAATTTTGGGCGATTCCAGCACATCTAAACTTTCTCCTCTCTCTCTCTCGTGAAGAAATGAAGGAACAAAAAATATCTAAAATTGTTCCACACCGCTAATCCTATCCCAAAATTGCGCTGCCCCTTTTTTCTCAATTCACAATTATTAGTCTATGGCTTGAACTAATTCCAAGTATTTCCCCTCTTTAATTTATGGTCATTAATTTTTGTGGGTTATTTTTTTGAGAGAGAGGTAATGGGTTTGATTAAATTGAGATATGTTTTAAATTAGGACTTCTATTTTGTTGTTTCTACCTTTATTATTATGGTTTATTTTGCATTTGTTCTAGAAAAAATGTCTCACTTTGATAGATTACTAAGTAGATATGTACTTAAAAAACTTTTCATTTTATTCAGTCCATAAGAATATTTGTTTATAATGATTATTTTTGTTTTGTACATTTCAATGCATTGCAAATTAGGGTTTGAAAATTTATGTTTGGCATAAATTTGACTTTGTTCGGCATAAATTTGACTCTGTTCATGACAATTCACAACATAATACCAAGAAACTTGAGCAATTGCGCAAATAATCAGCCATAAAACTTGAGCACTTTTTTGCGCAAACAATTAGACATTGAATCATCCTAATTTCTCCCTAGCATAATGGGACTAGAACCTCATGCCTTTCTGAACCCCCACCAACATACTAGTGTGTTCAATAAACTTATCCTACTCCTTCCTAATACCTTTCAAAAGACCTAAACAATGAGACATATATACTTGTAAAGAGGATAAACTCCCCCAATCACAACCATACTTCAAGGATACCTCTCTCTCTCTCTCTCTCACAGTTTCGTTAGAAACATTTAACTTTCTAACACCCAACCCATCTCCACAAACAAACTGTGTCTCATTCAACCAAATCATACTTGAATTCTTTTGTTATTCCCCACAACAAATCCCTTTGAGTCTTTCCAACTTTTTTACAACAAAGGAAAGAATGACAAACGTAGACATAAAATTTGTAGGCCAGCTAGGTAAAGTACTCTTAAACTAGAGTATGTCTACCCCTTTCTAAGAGGTATTAACATTTGCATTTCGCCAATATCCTCTGAAATCTCTTCACGACAAGATCCTAATTGCCCAGGTTTTGTACAAGGAATCCAAAGGCAGGCCCAAATACGATGATGGGAATGATCAAGTTTGTACGATTCTGCTTAAACTTTGTAAGGATGAAATCCTTTAGAATCTTTGTCTTCTCTTTGGAAACTAAGCATTGAACGGCTTAAGAGAGGCCACAACGTACCCCGAAGCTATCAAAAATCTAGTGTGATGTAAACCACCACATAATCAGTTGTAGGTGGGATCATCGTAGTATTCTAAAGCTGGATGGCATCAGTGGTGGCTGGTGAGGTATGTCCGTGCTAAGAACTCTTGTCTTTTGTTCTATGGTGACAACGGCTATAAAACAAGAGGAACTGGTAGTTTCGTAACAATAACTATAATTATTGACTTAAGTCTCTATTGTCTTAGTAAAAATCTGAAACGTAGTCAAATTACTACTACATTAATGTGGTGTCTAACCTTTACGAACACGGTATCTTGTTTTCTCTTTTCTTCCAAGATCTTGTGTGTTCAATTAAGCAACTATGACAAAGATGTGCAACTGCATTTCACCTTTTGTTTCTCTTTTTTCCTAAGATCTTGATGATGACTGTTCTTGTTGACTAATGTGAATTTTATTGTTGATTGGGTATTATTTATTAACTTTGACTTTTTACAGATGGGTTCTTGTGAAACTGCCAGCGCTTCGTACGTACGTACAATGTCCAATATGTCTAGGTATTGTTATTATGCTCTTCTACTGTTTCAATCCTTTTTCTAGGATTCTGATTATTGCAAATCTTTTCCTACATCTTAATTTAAACATCACTATTTCTTTTGTTTTTTGTGTGCTTTGAATCTTTTGCTCGGATGTGAGAACTCAAAATGCCTTTGCACATTGTAATGTATAAATTATGGCTCCATAAATATGATTTGTAAAATTATAACTAAGAAGCACATACACTTTTGAGTAGGAGGTGTGTTGTGCCCAACACCCGTCAATATTCGAATACTCTAAAAAGTGTGCTCGACACTTCTTCCAATGTTTTAAAAATCAGACTGGACCGAACCAGCCAGTTCAAGCGGTTGACCCGTTGATCGGTCCAAGGTCTGGTCCGGATACACCCTCAAAACTGTTTTACCTCGAAAATCAGCCTTTTTTAGTTAAACCGGATAAACCCACGCTTGAACCAGCTAACCGCACGACCCAGTGCGGGTTGAAGCAAACCGGCCAGACCATTGCGTGCTCATACAAGCCTGGTGCAAGCATGGAAAAAAACTTGTCTCCTTGGAGTTGAATGTAGGTACTCTTGCTTGTAAGAGCCACATTGTTTCCACTAGGCCACTGATTCTCCTTGTTAAATATATAGTACATATATATTATTTATTGTTTGAATCTATGTACTCTCAAACACTAGCATAACTAACATTTTTACTAACAATATATAAAAAGTATATGTATAAACACATATATTTGAACTTAAAATATAACTACATTGAGAGTGGTATGACCATATAACCACTATGCTAACTTTAGCTTTTGTTTAAATTTGGTTAATATATTTATGTAATTATATATATGTATATTAAAATTTAAATAAATGTATCTTAATTCTATATTATTATTAAGTCTTATTTTTAATGATTTATAAAATAATTATGATGTCACAGTTCGATTCCGATTTGACCCAACGTTTGAACGGGCAACCCCGTCTACCCGATCCCTTTTCCAGTTCACTTACTGTTTCAGTTTTTAAAACATTGACTTCTTCAACATGTCTTAATTTAAAAATCAAATACATAATATTAGGCACTTTACAAACACTTCATGGACACTTAGGCGATGTTTCGTGAACCTTCCAAACATGTCCCATGTGATGAATTCCTTCATAATAACAAATGTCTTGCATTCTTTAAAACATAACTTATGCACTTTAAATATGTTGTAAAACATTTATAAAATGAATACATCATGCGCATCTATAATTGTTTTGTACTCTTTAAAATGTAGTTGTTACATGAATGATATCTTGATGTTTAAGCTATGAATTATATAGCCTTTTTAATATTATATAGACTTTTTTCATTATCCTTTAATAACTTATTAATATGTATATATATATGACATATAATAAATTTGTAAAAATAAAAAATTTTAACGCGTCCCCAGCGTATCGTGTTTTTTTAAAATCGACATATTAGCGTGTCTATGTCGTATCCGTGTCTATGCTACCTAGGTTATACACTTTATGGGGGTGAAAAAAAGGAAAGAGAGGGATGGCGTTGTATTGACTAAGTCCATTGAGGGACTACGCTATGCTACAAGTGAGCTACGGATTGAGACGTTGCCTTGCTCATGCTACACGTTGGTGCAACGCTAAGGTGTGCAATGGCCTTAGGCGGAATCTAACACACGTGTTGGCACGAGGACTACGCCGTGGGCAAGAGATTGACCTTCAGTGGCTTGTGGGCTTCGCATGACCAAGTGGCCATCCAATATGCATCGATTGAGGCATGCTTGACCCTAAGACACTTCGAGATGCTGTTAAAGACCCAACATGCAATATTGGCTTGTCGGCTAAGTCGTGGACCTTCTCTAGCACATTATTGTGTGGCTAGGCATCTTGATGACATAAACCTAAGTTGGGCGAGTACCTTGCTTGAGGTAAGCTTGGCGCTATGAAGTGACTTATGCCGTGCTTGGTGCACTTGAGGCATTAGGCCTACTTGTGGCATCCTGGTGAAGACTGAGCTTTCTTGTGAAGTTGTTTTGCTTGACAAAGCATTGGGCCCTAATGTTCAAACGGATGAGATCATAAACACTTGATTTGTCAACGAGCTTATGGCGGGCTTAAACTTGGTGGAGTTCGAGCACCACACGGGCGAAAAATTGATCCACTGCGCCTCTAAAGGAGTCAGCCCGTGACAGTTGGTATCAGAGCTAGATCACTCATTTGGGGTGAGCTTGATCTAGAGTAGACATGCAGCTATCTTGTGATATCATTTCTTCGTGGACCTCGATGCTACTGTTTGAAGGAGTTATGCATGAAACTCATCTTGGGGGACGTGTATGACATCCTTGACTCTAAACAAGACCGCCGTTGGTTTTCTGGTCATGTTTGAACCGTGGGAGTTGATTGGTGATGTCTTGGGGTATCTATGCTTATTGTGCTATTTTTCAGCGATGCCTTGAACGCAGCGACCGTTTTTAAGGGTGCGAATTAAGCAGCATTGTGGCATCTAGTGTTTCCTTGCTAACTTGGTGTTGCCTCTCACTTTGTGGACTTGGTGAGCATTTCTACACTGTGGGCACACTCTGGCACAAGTAGGCTACATTTGTGGACAGGTTGCTTCCTAACCAACAGGGTTAGCATGATTGTGTTGCTTTGTTGGCTATATGGAGATGTCTACCGCAATTTGAACTTGTGCAATGCTTGTATTAGATTGTGGGCATGCGATCTTCATCTATTGAGCCTTAGAGACGGATTTTCGTTGGCAGTCGTGCACGTGCTATGGCATTATCATTGGTTCGCTTCAGGGGGCTTATGTTTCGACCGTTTGTGGTGGCATTTGCAACTTGTGCGTGTTAGTGGTTTTGCATCTTCAGACGCATGGTTGTTGACTTCTTAGAGGGTTTGCTCGGAAAATTTTCAAGACAAAATTTGAGATCTTGACTCCCGTGTGCAGAGGCATCGAGTGTACATGCTTGCTAGAGAGCGGGGTGATGGATGAAATCACCGTTGTCAGAGGACAACCATGTAGCGGGACTATGAAGTCAAGACATGATTTGGTGCCAGGATCAGCGCACCGTTTTGTGCATCATGGTTGAGATGGATAACTTTGTGGGTGGTAGGAATGGTGAGCCTTTGAAAGGCGAAATCTTTGAGCTTAATGAGATCGTTGACTCGAGTGAAGGCAGTGGCCGAGGTACTGGGAAGCATGAGTTGAATTCTAGCCAAAAGGTATAAGTTAAGACAAAGGGCTTGCCAGAGGGCACGAGCATGAGATTTAGCTAGAAGACTACACTTTGCTAGAGGGCACAAGTTAAACAAGGTGGGCTTCATTTCAGCTTGAGGTTTACACTTCTACAAGAACATTGAAGTTTTGAGTTAAAAGAGCATATTCAGCTATAAGGCTACACTTTGCTAGAGGGCACGAGTTTGAGTTAAGCCAAAGGGCTTCATTTTGCAAAAGTGCATAGGAAAATTTGAGTTTGCAAAGAGTGCATTAGATCGAGGGCTATAATTTGCTAGAAGGCATTAGCCAAAGTGCTTTAAAGTTTAAGTTTGCCAGAGGGCTTCAGAGATTGAGCTTGCCAAAGGGCATCAACCAGAAGGCTTCAGTGACATGAGCTTGCTAATGAGCAGCAGCCAGAGGGCTTTCTTTTCGCCAAAGGGCACAGTATAAAGACACTTGAGTTTATTGAAGATATCAGCCAAAGGACTTTGTGCTTGCCAGAGGGCATTGCTTAATCATTTTAAGGGGCAGCTATTGATTTGCATTGAGTCGACGAGGGCGTCGACAACTCGAGTGGAGGAGGAAGTCGCAAATGTGACAACCCACTGCGAATTAGCTCGAAGGAGCACGAGGGATCATTAGAGGAACATCGCCTAGAGGAGTCACAGCTCAGAGGAGCTTGAGTTTGCTCAGAGGAGCTTGAGATTGCTCGGAGGAGCAGTGGCAGAGAGGCCATTCGAGATGAGGGCTTAGCATTTAAAGAGTATTGGCAAAGGACAGAGTTTTAGAGCATTGGCAAAGGGCAGAGTTTAGAGACGCTCAGAGGAGCTTTGGCAGAGGCCATTTTTAGAGAGGGCATTTGAGACAAGTTGCCAACAGAGAGTGCAACAAATGGAGTACATTGCAATTGGATTTGAGTAGAGAACAATGAGGGGAGTTTGGTTAAAAGAGTTAGATGTTGAAGGTAGGCCATCAACACAGAGGTGTTGGACTCGTCAGAGGAGCTGATACACGCATTGCATCAGCTTTGTGCTACATCAACGAGGACGTTGATGGTTGAAGTGGAGGAGGGTGTCACGGGTTGCCTTGCAAGGCCAACTCCGTGACGTTTTGCTCGCAGTAGTGTGGCCAATTGAGTGCTCAAGAGTGCCCTTAGAAGTGCCTCAAAGTGGCCCAACATTGGCCCTAAGCAGCCCAAAGCATATGGGCCAGCAGCAGCAGCAAATAGCAAGGCCGCAGCCCCATGCCAGCAGCCAACAGCAGCAGCCAGCCACAGCCCATGCCAGCTGCAGCAGCAGCCAGCCGCAGCCCATGCCAGCAGCCAGCAACCACCAGCAGCAGCCTGCAACAGCAGCAGCAGCCAAACAGTGTAGATTTTGGCGCGTTGTTTCGGCATCCAAATGAAGGAGTTTTGGGCTGAAATTTTTATTGGAAAGAGGTCTTGGGGGAAGTGTTTTCCCGACCAAGTTTCATAATTTTTCTCAATTTGTGGAATTTATGAAAAATCATTATGACTCCTCGAACATATTAATGTTTCCTCCTGCCAGAGGGCAAATTGCTTAACAAGCATATATAACGGTGTAAGGTGTGCTACCTACCTACCTCCCCGCCCAAACTGGGCTTAAAGTGAGCAACCTTGGGGCAACTCAAGGGTGGGCTTTAGGCATCCAAAGGGGTGTCTAGAGTCTCCACATGGGTTTGGGAGCCCCGTGGATGGTGCAATAATGTAGGCACTGCGTGTGCCTCCCGAGGGAGAGGTTCACCACGATGTTTCCATTATGCCAAACAATATGGCATCTTTGGGACTCGTTTTAGACCGAATGAGCTATCGAGGCACTGCCAAAGGCCTCATGTGCCAACTCAAGTGCTTGGTTTGGATTCAACCTTGCACGAGGGGATCCCGTGGCTTAAGCTAAGCGGTTGGAAGGCAACACCGTATATGTGGGCTATCAAATGAAGGCACCAAGCTATGTATTGACTAAGTCCATTGAGGGACTACGTTATGCTACAAGCGAGCTACGGATTGAGATGTTGCCTTGCTCATGCTACACGTTGGTGCAACACTAAGGTGCGCAATGGCCTTAGGTGGAATCTAACACACGTGTTGGCACGAGGACTACGTTGTAGGCAAGAGATTGACCCTCGGTGGCTTGTGGGCTTCGCATGACCAAGTGGCCATCCAATGTGCATTGATTGAGGCATGCTTGACCCTAAGACACTTCGAGATGCTGTTAAAGACCCAACATGCAATGTTGGCTTGTCAGCTAAGTCAAGAGCCTTTGCTAGCACATTGTTGTGTGGCTAGGCGCCTTGATGACATAAACCTAAGTTGGGTGAGCACCTTGCTTGAGGTAAGCTTGGCGCTATGAAGCGACTTATGCTGTGCTTGGTGCACTTGAGGCGTTAGGACTACTTGTGACATCCGGGTGAAGACGGAACTTCCTTGTGAAGTTGTTTTGCTTGACAAAGCATTGGGCATTAATGTTCAAACGGGTGAGATCATCAACACTTGATTTGTCAATGAGCTTATGGCGGGCTTAAACTTGGTGGAGTTTGAGCGCCACACGGGCGAAAAATTGATCCGCTACGCCTTTAAAGGACTCGGCCCGTGAGACCTAGGTAGTCCTTCGGTGGAAGCAAGGTGGTTGTGATTGGTGTTAGGTTCCTCCTATTGTGGCTCTGATACCATGTAAGTTTAGAGAAGAGAAGAGAAAGAGAAAGAGATGGGGAATTAGTCAGACCTCATCCCCTTTTATATTAAGAATAAAGCATAATTACAGGAGTGCCATAAGTCATGAGTTATAGGCCAGCTCATTACAACCCATTACATCAATCAAGGAATAATAGAATAAAATGGAATAAAATATGAGAATAATTTCCTATTCTAACACAATGTATATTCTTTAATCTAAACTAAGTACAACGGTGTATTACATCACTTATGTATAGACTACAACTAATAGGCCACCTAATCATACACTTAAGGTATTTATTCTACTACATCATATTCTTCCTTTTGAAGAAACTTGTCCTCAAGTTTAAGCAACCACTAAATGAACTCAAGAACACCACCATGTAGCAGTAGGTGAGGAACAGGTGTTGTGTTTCCTTTTCCAACACAAACATGTTTCCTCACAACGCATCTTTATGCGAATACCTTGATCCGCTTTCTTGGTTAAGAAACCATAGATGCAAACTGACAATCGTCATCATGTCCATACCCCCCTTGCTACCACTTGGACAGAATCCCATTTCTCCAAACCTCTTCACCTCTGACCTGCAGATTGGTGTAAATGAGTAATCTTCCTATCGGAATGAGACTACTAGGTCGGCAAATGATATCTTTCAAAACAAACAAGGCTGAAGGATGTGACAAATTGATAGGATCAACTATGCAACCACTAGACAAGAACGACTTGAGAGAAACTAATCACAAGCTGGAATTTGGCATTGCACACCTTCTTTCCTTCCTTCCTCTGGACACAAATATGAACTGAGCACAGAAGAAGCAACCTACTCAACTCAAAATAGCTTCCAAAAGAGGCATGAAAGAAGTCCCAATGATAAAGCTTCAAACAAATTCTTTGAAGCTATGAAAAATATCAATGTCGGTTTGCAATGCAACAATTGATCTACTCATTTATTTCAACTCATCTCTTTGATTATGAGTTTGATTTAGATTGGCATCATTGCTCCTTCCAATTGAGAAAGTCATCTTGGTTTCTTAACCAAATTTGCAGCATAGACGATGACATAGGATATCCAGCATCTTGAAAAGTGGACACAATGAATTATTTGATCCAGAATTTCAATTCAGTCACAACAGCAACAAAAATTGAACCAGATTCAAACTATTGAACCAGAACTCAAGCAGAACAGGAGACTCGCAAGTCAAAGTGGTCTCAAGTTAGAGATTAGAATTGAATCCTTCCAAAATCAAACCAAATCCAAAAAATCTGTCGAAGTCGAATCTAGACTCATGGTCTAAGTGACGAAATCGAAATACAATCCAAGCTTCAAAGTTGAACTCCGTTGCAATCCAAGTCGTGAGAGTTGAATCGCTATTGTGACCAAATCGAAGAACTAGATTCACAGCACTATTCAAGTTGGAATCGAGTTGTGAGCACAAAAGTTAGATCAAAGTCAGATCTTGGCTAGGACTTTAGATCGAAGTCAGTTCTTGACTAGCTTCAAGTTCAGATCTGGGGCTTTGAATTCAAATCAAATTGCGAAACAAGTCGATATTTGCGAAAATCGAACTTTGAATCAAAGCGATTGCAAATTATTTGAAGTCGAGATCGCAGCACACACAGATCACAAATCGAATCAATTAGGGCTTGATCATCTCGCAAGGTTGAGTCATGAAGTAGAGATCATGTTTGATGTCCCGAAGTCGAAAATCGCAATGTTGTGATTGCAAAGTCCAGAGTTGCATCAAGAGCTAAATTGAAGATGCTAGGGTTTGAATCGAGGCGGTGTTGTTGAAGAAAGCAGGACAGAGATGGTAAGAATCCTGAAGTTTTGATACCAAATAATGCAATCCAAATGCAACTCGAGGATCAAATTGAGAGAGAGAGAGAGAGAGAGAAGACTAATGCCCCAATTAAAGGGCTTGAGAGAGAAACCAAGCTCTACTTCCATTACAATGTATATTCTTTAAAAAAAAACTAAGTACAATGGGATATTACATCACCTATTTATAGATTACAAACAACTACTATGCCACCTAATCATACACACAAGGTATTTATTCTACTACATCATAAAGTGACTTAATGCAGTGCAATTGAGGCTTGCAAGACACATCAAGGTGAAAGTTGCAAAGAGTTGCATCTCTTTGAAATGTGCTTGGTTTGTCGAAGATATGATTTGAAATCTAATGAAGCCCTCTTTGTACCAAAAAAAAACTATGAAACCCATATTTTATGTGTTGGTAGATTTTATATATTTTATAAAAAAACTTAACATAAATAAAATAATAAATGACAATTAAATAAAGATCCTCTACGCTAATCAACAAATTGAAGATATATTACAAGGCTTTTCTACACGGCTTACCTTTTTATTTTTTTTATTTTTTTATTTTTTTACATTTTTTCTTATAAACAATAACAATTGTTCAACAACAATTTGCAGCACAAGTGTTTATTGTTGGGAAAAATTATATAACCTCACTTGCACTCAATTGATTTGCAATTAGTTTCTCCAATTTTCATGTATATGACCCCTTTTATTGTTGGATGAGATGAGTTGATTTGTTAAAATTAATTGCTAACAATATTAAATTACTTCAATTTCTTAATTGTTTGATTGTATAATTGTCTAACTGTTTTTAATTGTTTAATTGTTTGGTTTGTGTTTGTTTCATTTGAAATTATTGATGTGCTCCTCCGTGATATTAAGCACAATGTAATGTACTGGGTGGTAATAATCTCATGTAAAAATACATGTCATTCAACAAATTTTCATACTAAGTTCTATACAATATCTATATATGAGCCTTGCTCCAATGAAGGCTGTGCCTCATGCCTAGTCCGTAGGGGACCGTCGCACATCGTTGCGCCCTTGAGTAACAGCAAGTTAAGTGTTGTGACTTCTTATGTTTATGCTGTTAATTTTTGTTATATTATATCTTTAAATTCCACATATTGCTCTTTATTCTCATCAGAATATGAAATCATAATCTGACTTGTCTTCTTTATAAGTATATACTGACATATAATGTAGACAAATAAAGCAGTCTGGCTTCTTCTTGGGGGATCTCAAGAATATAATTAATTTCAGTGGTAGAGGTGAATATTTGTGTATGCCTCTGGCTAATTACAAGTGAGAAAACAAAAGCTACTTTTAACCTTGTGGTTGCACAAAGGCAGCCAACAAGAGTGTGAATCTGTGTTGCATGGATATAACACATAGACATGTATCACAAGCAGGGGGTTGCAGTAATTTATCAAAATAGGATGAAAACTGGATTAGGACATGACAAATTTGCATGCAGACCTCTGTTAACTCATGAAAGCTTCTTCATCCTTTCATTCCCCTCTTGGAACGTGAAGAAGATTCATGTGTTTCTAAACTTGTGTCTTTCCTTTCCAACGGCATAATGAACGTCTGTCCTTAGGTTTCAAATATTTTTATTCTCCTGTGAGGAGGTCAGAGATTCTACTGCTTATTTTTTTGTTCATTCTATATTGTATTTCTCTAGTTGGTGCATTTCTTGTGGAGTCAATTTAAGGAAACTGGAACTCCAGCAGTTCACTTCCTTATTAGTGGCATATGTGCCTGTGTTTTTTCTCAACATCCAAGATACATATAAACTAGAAAAAAGTAACTTTGCTATTTCCTTTTGCAGGGATCATTAAGAAAACAAGAACTGTGATGGAATGTTTGCACCGCTTTTGCAGGGAGTGCATCGACAAGTCGATGCGTATGGGGTATGTAACAAAACTATTCCAACATTATCATCATCTAAGAAGCATAGACACTTCTTAAAGGTAACGTGTATTACAAGTTTGAATAAAAATAACTTGGAATCCAGTGATAAAACAAAAACAATGTAAATTTATACCCGTTCTCCTTCTTTGGAATTTAAAAATAAAAATTATTATCTTTGAATTAACTATTCATATACCTGGCATATAATAGTTGTTTATTTGTATATATGCTTATAATAAATATATAAAATGATATCCTTTGCACGTGTCTCCCACGGGTTGTGTCTTACATTTTTTGAAATTTTCTGTGTTGGTGTCTGTGTTCTGTCACGTGCCTGCGTCCGTGCTTCTTAAATCATCATTTGATTTAGGACACAATTGGACCTGTTGGCTTATAGTTAATTTAAATCCTACGACAATTAGATTTCATTTCTCAGGTTGATAATTGACCTTTTGTGACAGGAACAATGAGTGTCCTGCTTGCCGCACACATTGCGCCAGTCGACGTTCTTTGAGAGATGATCCTCGATTTGATGCCCTGATTGAAATTTTATATGATGATATTGAGAAATATGAAGAGGAGGTAAAAGTATATTCATGATTTGGCCTGGGTACTTTGCTATTCACATACCATATTGTGTAATGAGAGTTGCTCAGTTGTTTTCTGAACATCTGGTTTCAGGAACTGGCTTTTCATGAAGAGGAAAAGACTCGCAATAAGCAGGTAAGATGTGAGGATAATTGCTTCATGTTGGTAAATGTGCATCTGCCACGCTTGCTTGCCTTTTGCACCATTTGGATTTTGTAGGTCCATTAGTACTGAGCAGCAGTCACTTAAACTTGTGATGATTCCTTATCATAGATGCTGTAACCATCATGATGGGTTTGAATGTCTTGTTCCATACATCAACCATCTTTGACCTTGTTTGTCTATCCAAATTTCAGATGACAAGTTTTTGAGACTATCATCAAAGACGTATGAGCTGCTAACTTCATGCATAAAATTCCATTTTGACACTCAACTAGTGTTGTAAAAGAGGTGTTGCATCCACAGCACACCATGCTAGGAAGCACGGGTGTGGGTACGAATGTAGGTGCAAGTATGTTATGGGTACGCAATATGGCAAAACCAAAAGAAAAAGTAAGGTACAGGTATAGTCTGGTACGTCTATAAAAATTATATTTTTATAATTTATACTAGTACATGACATATATTACTAAAAAAAAAAAATCAAATGTAAAACATATTCATGCATTTTTGTAATGGTCGAAAAAGAATTCTTAGTTTTTTTTTTTAATATTTTTGATATTTGTAAAAATACCTTATATTTTTAAAGTTTAAAAAAATAGGTACAACATAATTATTCTAGTATTTAAAAATAAAAAATAAAAATTTATGTTCCAAAGTACCCAAGCTGTATGGGATGTGATGTACACGTCCCGTACCCATCCTGTACCCAAAGTATTTTGCGTACTGGGTATGTGTGCAGTACTCGGTATTCGTACGACAACATTTTTGGAGTACCTGTGCTTCATAGACACCATGTTTTAAATTGTAAATTGCCACTGCTTGAATTTTTCTCTAATCAACTTGGCTGCCTAATTAAGTGTCTTGGTGGAGAGGCCCATCCTAGCTTGTGGAACTTAGTAGGGAATTTTTTTTTCAGGCATCAACATCATGCTTGAATTGTGAGCTGGATTGTCCTAGGCCTCAAGGGCCATTTGGTCATAAAGTGAAATGGAATTAACAACCTCTTGCGCCAACCAGCGAACCCCCCCCACGCAAAGAAGTTGATCTGAAAGTTTGTCCATCACATCTGGGATATAAAGAAATTAATATTCTTCAAACTTATTCATTGTTGGCCATCCCTACTCTCTCTCTCTCTCTCTATATATATATATATATATTTTGCAATTGCAACCCATATACTTGACCATTATTTCATACAAAGGAATCTTGTGGAAAAAAATAAAAGAAATAACATGCAGTGATCCTTTATTTTAATCTAATTTTCCATCTCTATTATGAATGTTTTATGTTTATTTTGTTTGGGAATTTTATCGATTGCATTCTAGAGAATAGGCTAAGTTTCCCTTTTTGTAAATGGCTTATGCAACAAATTGACTTTTTTTTTGGGTCTGAATTCCTCACCATGAGTTAGGATCTATGAAGGATGGGTGCTTTGATCAACATGCTGTACCCGTACTGGGTACTAACCGGTGTAACGTACTTCATATGGTTAGCATGATTTTAAAATTAAATTGTGGTTTGTAAGTTCCTTTCATTAGACTTCTTTATTTTTAGTTTTATACTTAGTAGGTGTTTGGCATGCACATTTTAAAATTGAACTATGGTTTGTAAGTTTTTTAATATAATGGTATTTAATTTTGGTTTATACCTTTACTCTTGGCATTAAATATGAATTGTAGGTTGGATCTTAATAAATTAAACCATTTAATCAATTTTTGCATTACTTCAAATTAAAAATAAATATTTTTTTACAAATGTACTAAACAGTACCCATACCCTATTTTTTTGGATTTTACTTTATTAACGTACTTGTATCGTACCAGTACTCATATCCATACCCGTGCTTCGTAGGTTAGGGTGCATTAGCATACTGTATATATATATATATATTTTCCTGGTTTGTTTCGTCAATATATTTTTGCACAGATTCAGGCATCAATTGCCCAGATTTTTCGTCGACAATCTGAAGCACTGGTCACTAGACGCAAATTGGGTAAAGATACAGATTCTGCATCAGGTTCAAGATTACCGCGCAAATATTCTAGAAGAAGAAGAAACACCAGGGAAACTGAGCATGAAGGATCTGATGACGAGGATGAAAATAATCATGATGCGAACAAAGATTCATCTTCGAATGATGAGCGGACAACAGAAATTAAGCAGAGGAGGTACAAGAGAAAAGCAGGGGCACAGTCCTCCCAGCCTTCTCCATCAGCTGCAAATTCAGATGGTGGAGGCAATGAAAATGACTTAGAAGCAAGCAGAGAAAGCAAAGGTACTTCTTCTGGGCCTGTGCGGAATACAGAAATGCTTGCTTGGGGTGGAGGTGGTGCTCGGAGCAAGAGTGTCCGGAACACCCGCATAATGAAACTGGCTAAATATCTCGAAAACGCAAAGGACAATGATGAGGTATGTGGCTACATTTCTGTACAATTCACTTAGTCAGAATTGAGGTTACCTGAGAGTGAACAGTATGTCATCCAGAAAGTTTTCTTGTATACGTCAGTTTTGATGCCATAACATTCTCATTTAGTTATTGTGTTTCACTAATTTCGCATAGATCACATTTGTGATTTCTGTGTGGCTTTACATTGTTTGCAAATTTTCTGATTATTTGCAGTTAGATGTTCATCTCACCCTTATTTCTTTGGACAAACAAAGAACGGCAAGTTCAAAGGAGCTGTACCTCTGTTGCCCGCCATGCTTTTCTGTCAAAAGCCTCAAAGAAGTGAGTATTGTCTCTACCACCTATAATGCACGGACACCTCTCCGGAGATCACGTATATGTGTCCGACATGTGTTGGACACGAACACGTGCCAAACATGCTCTGGACACGTGTCAGACACACTAGGACACTTGGGACACGCTAGTGACACATTGTAGACACGCTAGGGACCATTTTGAAATTAATAATAATAATTTAATTAAAATTTAAAATTTTGTTTTTTATACCTAAAATAGCATATTAAGATTGATGAATTTGATAAAATTAAATATTTGACATAAAATAAATATAAAATATATAAAAATATAACATGGAATAAATATATAAAATTATATGTTTTGCACGTGTCTTGTATTTTTTGAAAATTTGCGTGTCCATGTCCGTGCTTCTTAGACGACAACTTATTTTCTGCAAAAATTTTCTCAAGCTAGCTGATGCACTCATCCCACCGTCATTTTAACTATGCATTAAGGCAATCATAGTAAGACGCCATCATTTGCAAAGTAATAATTACATGCAGCTGGCTGACCCTTAACCCTAATCTTAATATAACTTTTTCTTTTCTTTTTTTTAAATATATTTTTCCACACTTGTAATTCTTATCTAACTTTCTATTGCATTCTGTAATGCTTATGTCATGCACAGTATGTTTCTCGCGAGACACAATTACAGGCTGAAGATATTGAAATACTACTAGGGAAGAAGCACCTGCATACCAATGGTCTGCAGTCCACCCGCAACGCTTCAACCTTAACGGAAAATGAAGCTGTACTACAAAATTTGAAAGACCAAGAAACTTTGGCGGGGCTCGGAGCCAAATGCGATCAAGATAATAACCATTTGGTACGTATACATTCTCAAGTATATATATATGGTTGTGTGCATATTGTTTATCATCAATTCACCTCTCTTGGAAACCCTACTGTTGCATTACAATGTGAATGAAGAGTGAGAATCTGTGGACAGCCATTTTATGCACTTTGTGTTAAAGGCTACTTTCTTACAGATCCTACCTGCGCAGTCCATCTCTACCTTTTGGCACACATTATTGAATCTTTGGAGGCCTTGGTATTGGAGTTTGTAACAACTCTTCTTGTTTAAAAATACCAAGAAAGAGTTATGATGGGTGGGAAGATCTGTGTGCACGGGGTTGGAAAAATCTTGTAACCTAACTAGGCTAGAGCTTCCCATTGTAATTAAATTAATTAAAAATGTCATTTTCTATAATTTTTTATCGTACTTTATATTTGTTGGTGATTAAAACTACTTTTTTTTTCTGTGCTGTTTCAGGTTCTGGCTTATAGGGTGAAGAAGAGAGATTAGGAAGTTCATCATCATAAGCCGAGGAATGGGCCATATCACTCTATTTGGGAAAGAAGGTTGAATCAGGTAAATGCTGCTGTTGTAGGGATGCCTGAGGTTGCTTTCTGATCCTCTGATGAAGTATATGTTTCCTATGTTTTAAATTATATGCTGGGTAGCAGTACATTACCGAGGGGATAGACCCCAAAAAAATAGATTTTTATGCTTGTGATTGGAATTGTAGGATACATCTAAAAACAAAAAACAAAAAAACCCTTGGCTGTTATGTTTGTAATTGGACTTTTAGGATAGATCTTTTTAGTTTCTCTGAAAAATAGGTGATGCTTATTTTTTAACTAAAAATGCTTGCAGATGGTTGAAATGTATAGTCGTTTTTAGTAGCCCCTGTTGATGATTTTCTTAGTGGTTTCTGATATTTAGAGTAATTGCTCATGGACCAAAGAGGAGATTGAGACTTGCTCACAGTCAATAACGAAAGAAAGCCGTGGAAGAATGCTCGGCTTTTATCGGATACCTTAAACAGTAGTCTGGTTTTGATCTCTTATCACAAATCAGTTACTTTAAAAGCTCATTTATCGTCTTTGGGATTGTTAGGATGGATAATCACATGATTATCGACAAGCAATACGAAACGAACATGACAGCACATTGATTTTGAAAGAATTAATGACACAATACGTTTGAGACACGTTAAACTTTCATATTTTTATGAAATTGTTATATAATTTCATATAACTAGACACATTGAAGAAATGAAAATTTACGGTGAAGAAATGAAAATTTACGGAGCACGGTACGTAACACGACACAAATATTGCATAGACGCCTAACTTTTTAAAATATGTAGAACACGAAACGTAAAGGCCTAACTTTTTAAAATATATAGAACACGAAACGTAAAAGACACGTGTAAAATATATAATTTTATATATTTATTATATGTTATGTATATGAATATTTAAGTTAAATATAATAATTTTTAAAGTCGAAAGGAGGAGAATATGTATAAATTTATATTATTTTTGTTTTAGTATTGGATTCAAAATTATTTTATTCAAATTTGTAATATATTTCATGCGAAGTGAGTGTCGTGTTGTGTCAGTGTGACACATTGCCTTATTGGAAGTGTTCATGTTTCGTAATTTGACGTTCTTTTAACAATTTTTGAAGAGTGTGTCAGTGTCTAACACGGGTGTCAGACATGTAGGCTTGCTTTGTAAAAATGCACATAGATTTATTTATGAGAGGAAATTGTACTCCAGTAAATTTTGCTGTACGTGGTCAAGGTCAATTTCTTCCTTCCATTATATCCTGTTTTAGAGTAGATGGTAATTGGGGAGATAGCTATTCCTACCTTTTTTCTCTCCAATTGTTTTGAATTGTGAGGAATGGAGACTAGCCATCCAAATCCACTTTACCCTTTTTATAGTTTGGGTTATTTGCATTTCATTCGTAGTTTAATCATAGGAATGTGATTTTGATTTTGATTTTGATTTTTTAGCATTATGCTCAACTCTGTTAAAAAAATCATCCAACTACAAAAGTAAATTTTACCTTAAAAAAATTTATTCTATATATCATAGCGGTAATTCATAGAAAATATAGATGCATGATTGTTGATGATGTCAAACCAACCTAATGTTGTGCCTGTTAAAATCCACCTACTCTCCACCTACTTCACACACTTAAACCTACTCCACTAAACCTAATCCACTACACCACTACCACCTCACCTACTCCACTAAACCTAACCCACTACACCACTACTACCTCCACTTCACCTACTCCTTACCTACTACACACTCACCCTCTTCTATATATAGGAATCATGAATCATTGTAATAGATCAATAAACATCAATCAATAACACATAAATTTTTACATTACTTATACTCGTCTTTTCCAATCGCACACTTGATTTCAAGAAATTGAAGTCAATTATAACAAATACTCATTTTTAAAGTAAGTCCATAATTAGGGTTAGACCAAAGTTAGGGTTTTTTACCTTGAGGCACAAAATCATATTTTAACAACCCAACACTTCCATAACCCACCTCAATTTTACATTTAATTCCATTATTTTGAAAACCCTAACTCCCTTTTCATGCTTTTGAGAAAATATCCTTAATAAGAGGTTTTTATGCAATTGTAACCTAACTAGGCTAGAGCTTCCCATTGTAATTAAATTAATTAAAAATGTCATTTTCTATAATTTTTTATCGTACTTTATATTTGTAAGATAAATTGATAAAGAGAGAGAGAGCAAAATGAATAAAAATAAATAACTCTGTATTTCTGTGTCTGTTGTATTTCTATATATTACAAGAGACTGAGCTCTCTCTATTTATAGAGAGGAGAAGGTGACCGAAGTGTATATTACAATACATTAAACTAAGCTTTCTTGTGTGCTGGTGTGTGCTTTACAGTGTGATCTGAACATGTGATGCTAGTGGGTGTGTGCTGGTGTGTGTTGTATTAACAGAACATGTGATGCTAGTGGGTGTGTGCTGGTGTGTGTTGTATTGTATACTTTAACAATATTTGTTGGTGATTAAAACTACTTTTTTTTTCTGTGCTGTTTCAGGTTCTGGCTTATAGGGTGAAGAAGAGAGATTAGGAGGTTCATCATCATAAGCCGAGGAATGGGCCATATCACTCTATTTGGGAAAGAAGGTTGAATCAGGTAAATGCTGCTGTTGTAGGGATGCCTGAGGTTGCTTTCTGATCCTCTGATGAAGTATATGTTTCCTATGTTTTAAATTATATGCCGGGTAGCAGTACATTACCGAGGGGACAGACCCCAAAAAAATAGATTTTTATGCTTGTGACTGGAATTGTTGGATACATCTAAAAAAAAAAAAACCCCTTGGCTGTTATGTTTGCAATTCGACTTTTAGGATAGATCTTTTTAGTTTCTCTGAAAAATAGGTGATGCTTATTTTTTAACTAAAAATGCTTGCGGATGGTTGAAATGTATAGTCGTTTTTAGTAGCCCCTGTTGATGATTTTCTTAGTGGTTTCTGATATTTAGAGTAATTGGTCATGGACCAAAGAGGAGATTGAGACTTGCTCACAGTCAATAAAGAAAGAAAGCCGTGGAAGAATGCTCGGCTTTTATCAGATACCTTAAACAGTAGTCTGGTTTTGATCTCTTATCGCAAATCAGTTACTTTAAAAGCTCATTTATCATCTTTGGGATTGTTAGGATGGATAATCACATGATTGTCGACAAGCAATACGAAACGAACATGACAGCACATTGATTTTGAAAGAATCAATGACACAATACGTTTGAGACACGTTAAACTTTCATGTTTTTATGAAATTGTTATATAATTTCATATAACGAGACACATTGAAGAAATGAAAATTTACGAAGCACGGTACGTAACACGACACAAATATTGCATAGACGCCTAACTTTTTAAAATATGTAGAACACGAAACGTAAAGGACACGTGTAAAATATATAATTTTATATATTTATTATGTGTCATATATATGAATATTTAAGTTAAATATAATAATTTTTAAACTTGAAAGGAGGAGAATATGTATAAATTTATATTATTTTTGTTTTAGTATTGGATTCAAAATTATAATGTATTTCATGCGAAGTGAGTGTCGCGTTGTGTCGGTGTGACACATTGCCTTATTGGAAGTGTTCATGTTTCATAATTTGATGGTCTTTTAACAATAGTTGAAGAGTGTGTCAGTGTCTAACACGGGTGTCAGACATGTAGGCTTGCTTTGTAAAAATGCACATAGATTTATTTATGAGAGGAAATTATACTCCAGTAAATTTTGCTGTACGTGGTCATGGTCAATTTCTTCCTTCCATTATATCCTGTTTTCGAGTTGATGGTAATTGGGGAGATTGCTATTCCTACCTTTTTTCTCTCCAATTGTTTTGAATTGTGAAGAACGGAGACTAGCCATCCAAATCCACTTTACCCTTTTTATAGTTTGGGTTGTTTGCATTTCATTCGTAGTTTAATAATGGGAATGTGATTTTGATTTTGATTTTTTAGCATTATGCTCAACTCTGTTAAAAAATTCATCCACACTACAAAAGTAAATTTTATCTTAAAAAAATTTATTCTATATATCGTAGCGGTAATTCAAAGAAAATATAGATGCGTGATTGTTGATGATGTCAAACCCACCTAATGTTGTGCCAAACAAGTTACCAGCACCTTAAGCATGAAATTGAGCATATTTCAAACGCTTGAGGACAAATGGCAGGCCGGCGGTGGCCTTAGATTTTTGCCCGGGTTGATTTTGGAACATTTTTAGGGCCTGAAACTAGGAAAATGTTCAAAAGACATTTAGGAACACAAATTTGAGTTCAAAAGTATTTTGGTAAGTGGGAATATAAAAGGACAATAGATATTTCGAAAATTGAAAAATGAAAAATGGTTCAGGTTAAGGCAAATTGATGATCCAAAATGATTCTCAACAGCTTAGTATATAGAGTTTTTCATAGTCACTTCAATATCACTGTCGTATGATAACAGCTCAATTAGTTGGTCAAAATGAAGTGTTTATAACCTCTCTCCAACTCCTCTTCTTTTTTCCCGCAATCCTCATTATGTCCTTCGCAGCTCGTCAACACGTAAAGAGATAGAGAAAGAGAGTAACAGAAGAGGTTAGGGAGTGACAAAGAGGGGCTAGAAAGGACATGGGTGGTAGAAAGGGGCTAGGGAGAGGCCAGAACTAGTGGTAGGTGTAAAATTATAATTTATATTAGGGAAAATTTGTAATAAAAAAAATGAAGGCGACGGAGGTCTGAAAAAAAAGAGAGGCTAGGGCTCCTAGTAGCAATCGTGGTATCATTCGACTCCTCTCACTTTAAAAACAAAGATTTATTTATTACTATGACATATATTTTCAACATTACCTACTGTCACATTATTCTAGCAAAAAAATAAATTTAATGTTATTACATTTCGGCATAAAATACTAAACAACACATAGAGGGTGTTTGGGAAGGATTTTTTTTTATTTTTTTTTACTAAAAGACAAGTTAGTTACAAAATCCCAAAAAAACAAATCCAAATAAAATATCACATCAAACCCTATAATCATTTCACTTTTTCTCTCACAAACATCACATCTAATCACAAAAAACTCAATTATCTTTCCAAACACAAAAAAAAAATTCTCCAATAATATCCTACAACTAAAAAAATTTACAAAAAACTCACTTCCTGAACACCCACAGAGTGTAACGGATTCTCAATAGGGATGACAATTGTCACCCTCGCTCCGCCTTTGCATCTCCGGCCCCACCCAAATGAAGAAGCATTGCTGGCATGGGTTTTTCTCCCCTACTTTGTTCTACCCCACCCCCACCTTAATTATAGTCATTATAATTATA